TTATTCACTGTCCTATAAAGTCTATTCTGTGAATTTACTGACTCCTCTTATTCAGAAATGTTTTCTTTCTTCATTTATTCAAATTTTCTGTTCTACAAGTCCTAAGACTCAGCTGAACCTCACTAACCAGACCCTGTCCTCCTTCCTGGAGCTTTTTTCTAGCCTTGTGTGCTCAGATGGCCATCTGCAAAATCTAGGACTTTTGTCTCCTTGCCTAAGCCTGGTCCTTGAGACTCAATTCCATTAAGTGTTATGTTTTAACCCCACATACTCTCTCCCCAAAGAACAGGCCTTGTACCTGTGGTCTTGAGGCCAGGGTCGCTTCTTATCAACGGTGCTCAGCATAGGGCCTCTACCCAGGAGGGATCTGAAATACCAGTCTTACAGAAAAATTGTTACATAGGATTATCAGGAAAATACAAGCTTATAGGATTTACGCCAAAGGCAGATGTAAAACCATGTGAACATAATATTAACAATAGTTATCATTCACTGAGCACCTACCATGTGTGTGCCAGACACTGCAGATTTCTTACAGTTCTTTTAATAACCTTGAAAGCTAGGTATTAATTTAGCCCCATTAGTTGAAAAAAAAATCAGAAATCAGAAGTTGAATAGCTAGCCCAAGATCACAAAACTAGGCTGTGGAGGACTCTGGATTCCAGTCTACAAATCCAAAACCCTTGCTGATCCCATAAAATCCTCTAGATCTGCAATGTCCAATATGCTAGCTACTGGTTTTAAATTAAAATTAAAGTAAACATTTAGTTATTCAGTTACACTTGCCACATTTCAAATACTCAGTAGTCACATGTGGCTAGTGGCTACAGATAGATCATTTGCAGCACCACAGAATGCTCTAGATAATTCTCTGTCTTCCACTAAGACATGGAGAAAAAGATGGCTCCTAACAAATTACAAGTGGGATGATAAGAGAAGACATAATCCTAAAAGAAGAGCTTTTCCCTTGTTTATGAGGTCACATGCCAGAATTTTTTTTCTGCTAAGCAGGATCTGGCTGGATTAGAGGGTTGGCCAGTCTGGGCTCCAAAACAAACTCTTCCACACTTCAACTATGAGACCATCATCTTCTAAGACATCTGAAAGACGTTTGGTGGTATAACATTTTCAGAACATTGGCCACTCAATTACCTTTCTTATAAAATTCACTAGAAAACATCCTCCAAATTATTGAGATTAACAGAAGAAAAAATTGAATTTAGAAGTTTTAGGTTGTAAAAGCCCTACTGATAAAGTTGCAGAGAACCAGGAATAGTACCAGCTGCTAAAGGGCTTTACTGATAAAGCTAATTAAAGAAAACTCAAAGAACACAAAGGAATAATAAAGAGAAAATAAATCGTAAAAAGAGGGTTACTAAAATGACAAAGTAAATCAACAAAGAATTGGAGGAAAGTCAAAAACAAAAACCTAAAAACCTGTCTTCCAAAAATTGAGACAAAGTTATTCCTTTTTATTATGAAGAGTGTTACCTATTACGAATCCTTGTAAAATGTTTAAGGACACTCTTTAGTAAAATCACAGTGAAAACAATGGTGCGCAGTACACATTAAAAAAGAAAATCATAAAAGAAACAACTAGCAGATTTGGTGTTATCATTATTTTTGATTTTAGCCATTCTAATAGGTATGCAATGATAACTCATGTGGTTGTAATTTGCATTTCCCTGGCTAATGATGTTGAACATCTTTTTCATGTGCTTCTTAGCCATTTGTATATCCTCTTCAATGAAATGTCTGTTTATGTCTTTGCCCATTTTCTAATTGAATTTTTCAAAAAACTGCTGAGTGTTCAGGTTCTTTATATATTCCAGGTACTAGTCCTTTGTCAGACACATAGTTTGCAAATATTTTTCTCCGAGTCTGTAGCTTGACTTTTCAGCTCTCACATGTGGGCTTTTGCAGAGCAGCAATTTTTAATTTTGATGAAGTCCAATTTATCAATTTTTCTTTTATAGATTGTGTTTTTGGTGTCAAGTCAAAGAAAGAATGCTTTGCATAACCCTAGATCATGAAGATTTTCTCCTATTTTTTTTTCCCAAAAAGGTTTATAGTTTTATATTTTACACTTAAGCATGTGATCCATTTTAAGTACATTTTTGTACAAAGTGTGAGGTTCATTCAAGTTGAGTTTGTTTTTTGCCTATGAATGTCCAATTGCTCTAGCACCATTTGTTGAAAGATCTATCTTGGCTGGGTGTGGGGGCTCATGCAATATCAGCATTTTGGGAGGCCAAAGTGGAGGACAGCTTGGGGCCAGGAGTTTGAGAGCAGCCTAGCCAACATAATGAGGCTCCGTGTCAACAATAACAACAAAAAATAATAAAATAATACCTGGGTGTGGTGGCATGCACCTGTAGTCCTAGCTACTTGAGAGGCTGAAGCGGGAGGATTGGTTGAGCCCAAGGAGCTTGAGGTTATAGTGAACAATGATTGTGCCACAGCACTCCAGCCTGGGCGACACAGTGAGACCCTGTCTATAAGAGAAAAAAACAAAAACAAAAACCAGACTGTCTTTCCTCCACTGAATTGCTTTTGCACTTTTGTAAAAAATCAGTTGGACATATTCATATGGGTCAATTTCTGGTTTATTTTGTTTCACTGATCTATGTGCTTATCCTTTTACCAAAACATACTGTCTTTGACTACTGCATTAGATTGCTAGGGCTGCCATAACAAAGTACCACAGCTGAGTGGTTTCAACAGTAGAAATCTATTTTCTCACAGTTCAGGAAACTAGAAGTCCAAGGCTAAGGTGCTGGTAGGGCTGGTTTCTTCCGAAGGATCCTCTCCTTGGCTTGTAGGTGACCATCTTCTATGTCTCTACATGGTCCTCCTTCTGTGCCTCTCCTTGTCCTAAGCTCTTCTAAGGACTCCTCTAGTCACCAGTGAATTGGGAATCACCCATATGAGCTCATTTTACCCTAATTAGCTGTTTAAAGGCTCTATCTCCAAACACAGTCACATTCTGAAATACTGGGGTCAGGACTTAAACGTAAGAATTTTGAGGGATATAAGGGAACACAATTCAGCCCATAACAATTACTATAGCTATATAATAAACCTTAATATTGGGTAGAGTGATCCTTCTCACTTTCAGTATAAGAGGCTGATTTTAAGTAATAATAAATTTTTTTTTTTTTCAGATCAACAGTTAAGTAGAATTGGCAGAGTGAGTAGCCACTGGATTTCAAGTCAGAAAACAAGGATTTAAGATCTGTGTTACCTCTAAATTGCAGCTTCCTCATCTGCAAAACAAGGGGTGATAACATCTACCTTATAAGATCAGATGCAGTATCTACTGAAGTGCAAGAACAAACTTAGGTCTTCTGATGCCAAATCTTTCTGCTACTTTTTCGTTATAAAGATTACTTGAGATATTCTAGAGAAATTAACTTACCACATACATTTTAAAATAAGTTCTTCTATGTCTACTAAAAACCTTGCTGAGATTTTGATAGGAATTGCATTAAACCTATTGATCAAGTTGAGTAAAACTGACATCTTTACTGTATTGTTTTCCAATCAATGAACATGGTACGCATCTCCATTTATTTAGGTCTTTGATTTCATCAGTTTTTTTTTTGAGACGGAGTCTCACTCTGTCACCCAGGCTGGAGTGCAGTGGCACAATCTCGGCTCACTGCAAGCTCTGCCTCCCGGTTTCACGCCATTCTCCTGCCTCAGCCTCCTGAGTAGCTGGGACTACAGGTGCCCACACCACGCCCGGCTAATTTTTTGTATTTTTAGTTGAGATGGGGTTTCACCGTGTTAGCCAGGATATCCTGGATCTCCTGACCTCGTGATCCGCCTGCCTTGGCCTCCTAAAGTGCTGGGATTACAGGCGTGAGCCACCACGCCTGGCCTCATCAGCATTTTTAACATACAAATCTTGTATACAATTTGTTACTTTTATACCTAAATACTTCATTTTCTTCGGGGTGACTTTAAATAGTACTGTGTTTTTGTTTTCATGTTTGCTGTTAGAATATAGAAATGCAATTGATTTGGGGGTATTGGTCTTGATCTTGTATACTGTGACTGCACTAAAACTCACTTATTAGCTCCAGGTGTTTGCTTGTTTTAAAATACATTCCTTGGTATTATCTATGTAAACAATCATGCCATCTGCAAATAAAAAGTTTTTAAAAATTTCTTTCTTTCCAATCTGCATGTCGTTTGTTTATTAACTTTTTTTTTTTTTTTTTTTTTTTTTTTTTGCCTTATTGCAGTGACTAGCACTTCTAGTATTAGGCTGAATAAGGGTGGTGAAAGCAGACATCCTTGCCTTGTTCCTAATCTTAGAGGAAAAACATTCAGTTGTTCGCTATTAAGACATATAAGTTTTTGGTTTTTTGGGGTTTTTTAGATGTTCTTCATCAAATTGAGGTAATTCTCTTCTATTTTTAACTACTGAGTTTTTCTCATGAATGAGGGTTAGATTTTATCAGACTCTTTTTGTGTCTATTGATATGATTTTCTTTACTTTGTTGATATGGTACATTACATTGACTGTTTTATGGCTGAACTAGCCATGTACACCTGAAATGAATCCTACTGGTCATGGCACTGTTGGATTCAGACAAACTAGAACTTCTTACTCCATGTCCTGTGTTATTTCCACTCCACTACAGTTACTTTTAACAATTTTGACATCAGCTAAAATCCTATAAAAGACCTTTCTAGTTCTTTCTCCCTGAAATATGTTATGATTCCCCATGGTGGTTGTTTCCTCTTACTAAGACAAGCTAATAAACCTAACTTTGTTTGATTACAGGTGTGTTCCTGGTGGTCTTTGGCTGGCAGGTTTTATCTCTGAGAACTTTTGGATACCCAGGTATATGTGTGCAGACTACTAGGGTCCCCAGAGTTGAATTTTAGAAATACTGTACTGGTGGCAGGATTACTATTTTACCAGATTGTTTATGAATGTTAGTGTCTGTTATTTCTACTGCAAGTCTCAAAAATAAATACAAGATATCTCAGGAGATTAGAAAAATTTTATTCATCATCCCAAACTGGATTATATATTACAAATTCTGATGAAAATAATATTAAAGGTATTTTCAAGTAGTACCACAAACTATCTGTACCTGAAGATAAAACGAAATAGTCAACTGGTAAGTACACATTGAATCTATTCATCTTCAAAATATCACTTTGTTTAGAAATTCATATATATGTTTTTGTAGTTATGAAGTGGGAGGGACACACAAATAGCTACATAAGATTTTCATTTAACAAACATATGAACTATTCCCCATGCTTTGAATGAATCATCAGAAGGCTGTAAAATCCTGTTATTTTTTTCAAAGGTGCATGAAATAATGTTTCATTTCTAATAGCAAAAATACAGTACTTCTAGTTTTCCTCATACTCTCTTCCAACCCTACTGTGAGAGCTGCTTATAATTATATAGCAGCTTGTTAATGGGTTCCTACATAATCTCTGTATTAGGTTGGGTTAGAAGGTGCCACGGGGCATTCTAGGGTAGAAGTTTTGATAGTACAGAAGCAGAAGCAGAGATTTCTTTCTTTCCTTTTTTATTTTTTTTTCCTTTTTTGAGACAGAGTCTTGCTCTATCACCCCAGGCTGCAGCACAATGGTGCGATCTTGGCTCACTGCAGACTCTGCCTCCTGGGTTCAAGTGATTCTCCTGCCTCGGCCTCCCGAGTAGCTGGGACTATAGGCGCGTGTCACCATGCCTAGCTAAGTTTTTTGTATTTTTAAAGGAGACCGGGTTTTGCTATGTTGGCCAGGCTGGTCTCGAACTCCTGGCCTTAAGTGATCCACCCGCCTTGGCCTCTCAAACTGCTGGTATTACAGATGTGAGCCACTGCACCCAACAGAAGCAGGGATTTCTTGTTAGAAAATTTATACTTGCCTCCTTTAAGCACAGTACCTATACAAAAGGTATCACCATTGAATTAGTTTGTTTCACTTATAAACTATAATTAGGATTTCAGTCTGATGTGAAGCAGCCTAAAATGGCATCATGCACCCTGCTGCTTCTTGCCTAGTTGAGAAAGAAACACAAATTTGGGGGCAGAAAGTAGAAATGAGTATTTTCAATTCTCCTTTATTAACAATGACACAGGCATTCACCAGTATAGACAATTGAATGAAACTAAGTATTCCAGATTTCTTCCCTTTCCAAATCATGGCTTATATCTAATTTCACTAACAAGGAGGTAAAGATTTACATCTAGGAAAGGCTAGAATATTGAAAAAGAAGTCCAGGGGAGAGTAGGCACCAAATCTAGGGAAGTACAGTGAACTGCTTGGGACCAGCAAACTAGGTAGCATATGGGATAAGATTAGGAGACAAATGCTTAACCAAGAAAATGAAAATACAAGTTCTATTGAGAGAAGGAGGCAAACTGGTAATGTCTCTGAATTCATAAACCATACAATTTAATTTTTAATGACTTGATAGCATTTTTTTTTTTCTTAAGCAAATTCAGTCTTGCAACATTTTGAGTAAAGCAATGTGTTCTGACCCACGGTTTCTATAATTCCATTTGAAGATTAGAAAAGAAACATGGAAGTAGAAAAACTGCACATTTCTTGAGTACTTACTTAATCCTAGACCTGAGGCTAAGAACTGTATACTTCATTTAATCACCCTAAAAACCCTTAGAAGTATGTATCATTTCCCCCGCTCACTAATGTGGAAGTTGAGACTGAAAGGGCCCCCACCATAAATCCCACATGATTAAGCTGAAATTCAAATTCAAGCCTCACTCAAAAGCTTGTGGTCTTTTTATGGCAACACATTGCCTTCCCTAAGTGAGATGTTGTAGGTGATCTAGCCCAGGTCTTAATAATGGTGTAAGACAAGGAGGAAAGAGGGATAACTGCTGGGATTTTTCTTGAGAAAGTCTCTTGACTGGTTGGTAACTGAAGTTTTTCCATGCATTAAAGCTGTTACAACTAATAATTACCTGTTAGAAGGCAGGAATGTGGCACTTTCTCTGACTAGGTTTTGAGGGAATATTTCTCCTAAGGATTTATAACATTTAGGATTTAAAAAACTGTTCACTTTCCAGAAGGTGAAACCAGGGGGAAACAGAAAAATGTGTAGCCATAAGTTTGGGTGAGATTTTAGACTGAAGTGTGGAAACTCATTCCAAATGTGTTTTCCAGATTTAGCTCTGGTACCCAATGTATAAATTCTTGCTTACCTATGTAATATCCTGCCTATCTATGTGCCATCTGAAGTACTGTAGTTGTGTAAGAATAAAAACAATGGTTTGACATCACAAATTTAAAAAAGAATGAGTACTATCTATTCTTAAATACTTGCATTTATCAGAGAGTATCAATATAAATAATTAAAAGTAGTTTATACTAAAAACGAGATACTCTAGTCTCCTTTCCAGCCAAGCAGATTTAAAAAATCCCAAAAACGGCAAAGTACTCCAGTTATATATGTTATTCTTTTTTGTGAATGAGACCACTACTACCAGGTAAAGGTCCCTTAGGAAGGAAAGGGCCTCATGAAAGGTCACTGTAGGAAGGGGAGAGACTCTTCAAATACAGGCATTTAGCAGGTTGGTGCTGATGCTTCCTTTGGGAAACAGAATGGTGAAGTGGCAATGGGATGCATTTTGAGCTTAGAGAATTAGGTACTAAAGGCTGATGTCTCCAGATGTGAACTATCTTATTGTCTGGAGAGAAGGCATTTTCCAGATAAAGGTATGAAGGTTGCCTAAGAATTCTGAACAAGAAAATACTTCCCCTTGACCTCTCTGTCGCCTTAGGTTCTCAATCTGAACAAAAAGATACTAAGTGGCAGAAATACCCTAAGACTTGGACTCAATGAAGCACTGGATGACTTCTCTGTTAAGCATCTCAAGCACTATTAAAGATACTGTGTTGTGATGCAAAACAGACATCGGACTAGAAGTCATGGCAGTCTTGGGTTTTAGCCTCAGCTGTTCTTGTTTAGATCATTCCTTTCTGCCATTATTTATTTAGTTATAAAGTAAGAGGGTTTAAAATGAATATTACATATGGTCTCTTTCAAGATTCAAAAGCAGAATTACTTTCACTTAAGTTTTAACTTGTTTTGTGGGGATACTGGCAAACATTCTGTCAGCTAGTGGTCATATTTCAGGTTTTGCAGCTAGGGAATCAAAGAAATCAGATGTCCCACCAAGCAGCTACTCTTAGGGATGCTCAATTTTAGGAACTATGGTTTTATTCCAGGGGCCAGATATCAGTAGCTGCAGCAGAGGAGAGAAGGAAAAGTGCTCCCTGCTTAGAGAGGGACTGGGTGACTACCTGGTTGTCCTGGTTGTCAATTAAGAGGAATCTTGCCTCTCAGGATGTCTCTGAAGACATCCATGAGTGCCTAACTACCAACAAGTTGTCAGCTTCCCCAGGTAAGCCAGGTAAACTAAACCTGAAAGTGGTCAGATTAGGAGAATGACTGCTAGAATACTCAAGTGAGGAAAGAAAAGTGATCCAATGAGCTACTGAAGATGGACATACTTAACCCAAGGTCTCTGGAGACTCAGCAGAATCCAACTGTTAAAAAACATAAGATGAAGTATGGATGAATCAGAATCAGAGGTATGTCTGGCCTTCACATTCTAGGGGAAGGCTTTTGTTACCCGAAGTTAGGGCAGAATCCATGAGCTGAAGCCTGTGAAACCAGAAGACAAGTATTTGAGCAGCCAGCGGTCTATGTAGGGAAGAATATAGACCCTGTGTCAATGGGGCCAAGATGTCTTAGATTTCAGACACTCTAAGCCTTTGTACTCCAGGAAAGGATAAAAGATTAATCTGTAAACAGATGGGTAAGATCTCCTGGCAAAGAATGGGAGTCCCAATTTGAAATGGGCAGAAATGTGGAGTGTATGCATTTCTAGATACTGAGCACAAGCAAATGGTCCTCATCAAGTAGGGTGGATTTTGCCCCAAAATACTGTTATTATTTGTTATATTATGTTTGAGCATGAAAAACAAATGTAGGGTCAGCTATTTAGAATTTGGGAATGTACTCTATGGGCTGATTTTCCAGCAAAGAGAAAACTGATGATGATGATGATGTGCCATTTTGGGACAAGTCCACTGATAATCTTAAAGGTCCCCAGATACCTGCTCATGTTATTTAAGAAAAACCCAATAATTCTGCACTGAGAATGCAACTTAAGTCAGGAAGACTGTTGGTTATCATTTATCAAAGAAGGTTTTCATGTTGCTTTAAAAATTTGGAATGGGGTGGTTGTAAGTTACTTTCCCTAATTTGTTTTTGGGAAAGTCTATCAGCCCATTCCCTCAGATGTTCAGGTTCCCATTTTTGAGACCCCTATTGTTCTCTGGTTTCAGAGGAAAATCTGCCAAGCTCCAGGAAGTAGTCCCAAATAGCATAGGTAAGATACAAGATTCAGCTTCCTTTCCCAGACAAAGAGAAAAATAGCAGTGTTTATTGTGCCTACATTTTCCTTTACCTCTCACTTAGAATATATCATTCAAGTGACCGGTGAAGAGATGGGGTAAACAGCATCCCATCTGACTCAGACATCTTGAGGGGAAAAGGAAACTGAAGGGTTCCAGAGTGTGTGGTACTTGATAAAGTAGAAGTCTGAGTTCTTTCCCCATCGACATTCAACAGACTGAAAAACTAGGGATGAACACAAACTTTACAAATTCTATGATCTGAGGTAGGGTGAATAGTTGCCAAGCCCACCATTTAGCTTCCATTTTGGAGATCGATATATAGGAAGAGGAGAAGAAACAGGTAGGTTTACATGCCACTTAAATTGGTATATAGACCAAAAATTAATGAAGCTGTAATTGATGAATGAAGATAATAAAGAGTATGTTTTAAAAATTAGAGTACATTAAAACAATTCTATTAATATTTTATTGTCATTAAAATTGGGAGTGCAAAGATTATAAATTCAGAAAATATAAAATGTACATGAATTTCTCATATTTTTACCTAACAGAGTGACTGAGAATAAAATAAAAATGAGTTTTGTGAAATCATGGACTCTTTCAAAATCATGTCTAGTAGCATGGTCTCACTTGAATGATTTGTCAACAAGTGCCATCAGATGTCAGTGAAAATACTCTCACAATGGATTGAAATTTAAGCATTACACAAGCATAAACTTCCTTCTCACTTCAAATATGACAGCAGTACAGGTATAGAAATTTATTTATCCTGACAAGTAATAAAAGTTCTGATATAAATTAGCTCTCACCTTCCCTAAAAGAGTAATGCCTTGTTCTCTAATTCAATTCCATATAAGATTAGTTGAAAAATGAACCTGATATCATTTTTTCTTGATGCCACTCAAAGTCTGATGACTTGAGTATTAACTCAGACTCCACAATCTTAAAAGGAGCACTAACATACCAGCTTAAATGCCCAGAACAGGAATAGGTTATTCTTTTTTACTAGTATATCCTTCCTTTGCTTTGCCTGGTGAGCTCATCCTCCAGTGCAAACATTAGTTAACATTTTTAAAACTTTTACAGAACTTGAACTCTTCAAAGGGTGGGGGAGGGTTCCCTCAGAGGAAAAATTGAGTTGTTTATCAAAGGGAGGAATAAAAGAAGCAGGTATTTGTCTCATTCATCTAGGCTTCTCCACTGTAACCTAGCATTGTATGTGGCACATGAAAATTCCTCAGTGCTAAATGAGAGAATTAAATCAGACGGCTCTGGAGTTAGGACCCTTTCCGTGTCTTCAAACTTGTCCCTTTTTTTCTTTGGTTCCCACTTAGTTTGACAAATAGACATGTATCTTTTTAAACAGTTATCTACCTTTTTTTCCAAGATAGGAATTCTCCCATTTCAACCTATTATCTTAGTATAACTGGATAACCTCATCCCACTCAGAAATAGGCCAGATTCCATTGGGTTGCACGTTGGGAGGAGAGCGCTTCCAGTCCCACATCTTTACAGGAATCTTCCAGGTCTTACCATAGTTGGCTTCAATGTATTCGAGGGTTTCACAGGGCACATGGACCTTCATGTCTACAAACTCAGTCCAGCACAATGTAAATTTGGGAAACAGGTACCTGCAGCAAAACGGAGGGATTAGGCTTCAACAGTGGAAGGTCTAGCTAAGGAATCTAGCTGCTAGTGCATTATTGGCTGAAGGACAGTGCTCTCCCATTAAACAGCTTTGGAAATAGAGTGGCTATTTAATTGTTTTTGACTGTCCAGAATCCCTTTCCTCTTCTCCAATTTTCCTTCCTTGTTCCAAGTCCATAGGATTGAGGAGAGGCTGACCCTATCACTAAGCTCCAGAGATCAGTAAAAAAGACTCAGGCCAGTAAGTTAATGATTGAGGCACGGATGGGAACGTACCCAAGGCAGGCAATCAAAGTCAGCCTTGGGCTTTCTGTTGGAACTGTAGAGGAAAGAAGTGTCAAAGCAAAAAGTTGTCAAAAGATGGACAAAACGATCATTTTCTTTTCTTTCACAATCTGGATTTCCCAAGGATACAGAGTAAGCAGGACTCCAAGCTGCATTTCCAGGCTTCTCCTTTGGTTCCATAGCTTACATGATCCTACCTGTGGTTTCTGCCTTTCATCTCAAATGCTAAAGAACGTCTTTAAACCAGCCCAAAGAATACTAGTTATAATGATTTTAACTATATTTATTGCAGGACTAAGACAATTCGTAGGTAAGTTTCAGAAATTAAACCAGGCCGGGCGTGGTGGTTCCTGCCTGTAATCCCAGCTCCTTGGGAGGCTGAGGCGGGTGGATCACTTGAGGCCAGAAGTTCGAGACCAGCCGGCCAACATGACGAAACCCCATCTCTACTAAAAATACAAAGAAATTAGCTGGGTGTGGTGGCGCACTTCTGTTGTCCCAGCTACTCAGGAGGCTGAGGCAGGAGAATCACTTGAACCCTGGAGGTGGAGGTTGCAGTGAGCCGAGATCACGCCACTGCACTCCAGCCTGGGTGACAAAGTGAGACCCTGTCTCAAAAAAAAAAAAAAAAAACAACAACAACAAAAAAAAAAACAGAAATTAAACCAAAACATGTTTCTGAAAGGTACTTTGGATCAAGTAAACTAAATTATGTATCCTAGAAAAGAAAGCTAAAACTAGCAGGTCTGTTTAAGTTTATATTATAGCTCTACTCTATATTCTGCATTTTTTTTTTTCTAAGAAACGTTTCAATGTGGGAAGAACTTTCAGTAATGAGGTTTTAAGTGGCAATAGCAGAGATTACAGGAATTTAAAATATCAGAGGATTAAAGAAAGAACAGGGAAAAGCCAGATTTCAAAGTGTAATCATATTGTGGAAATGGGATCTAACTGGGATGTTCTCCAAGAAAAGGTCAGTTCTGATATATTCTGCCTGTGATTATCGTGTTTTACCACCAAATGAACATAAAGCCATACATGAAAAGGAGAGGCTGAACAAATTCTAAAGAAAGCAACAACTCCCTTTTACTCAAACCCAGTTAATGGACAATTCCAGCTGGCTACTGTGAAAAGGCGGCCACAGAAAATCTCATAGCTGAAAAGTAAGATACAGCTTAGCCCCACCATCTGCTGGTCCCAATTTTACTCTGCACACTCATGTTCATGGAATTGCTTATTTTGTCATCACACATAACAATCCATCACCAGCCTCCACCCTCTCTAATCAGATGCTGGTTAGCAGAATGTCCGCCTGTCTTATCCTATCAAGTTGACACACTGAAGTTGAATTGAGGCAGAAATCATGTTCTATCTTGTAATACAGGCCAGGAAACTTCTCTAAGTATTATTCTTTGTAGTCTCATCAAAGAGCTAAAAGAGGGAAATATAATAATAGATACAGGATAGATAAGGTGAAAGGGAATACTACAAATTTTACAAAAGCAATGTTTTGAACAATGAAGAATTTATGAGCAAAGCCAAAACATTTTAAATATATAAACAATGTGAAAATAATTCAAAGACAATTTAACTCAAATGTTAGTTTTTGTACTTAAAACTGAAACCTCTCTAAACTCTTTGTGGTTTTCTTTTCCCCAATTATTTTTCAATCCATTCAGCAAAAAGAAAATCCCAGCTTCCTAGGAGAAGACGAAAGATAAGCAAACAATAAAATGTAAAAACTGATTATAAAATAGGATTGTGAAGAGGAAGTGAAGGGGGGTGAATGACGCAAAACAGCACATGCCATGTACCCTCTCCAGGCTACCAGTAAATAATGACTAAGACTAAAATACACCATGGGTCTGCAATGTTACCTCGACTTTTAAAGCTAAGATTAAGTTCAGCTAAGCGGTTTGTACTTTAAGGCCCTGGGATTGGATCCAACATGTAAACAGGTTTAAATGCAGACTAAGGCAACCCTAAATCAGAATGTAAGTTTAAGAGATCTTATTACCACAAAAAAAAATCCCTCCATCCATTTTCTATTTCATACCACTTTTATTTCATATTATTTTTACATAAAACAGTAGTTAAATAGTTGGAATAGACCATTTTTTTCCCTCACAGATATGCTTAAAATCTATACAACTACTTGGTGGTAGTTGGATAATTTCATCAGTTTAATTACAATCAGTCTAAGTACAACCTATGGACATAACTGCTAAATGAAAACGAAGTTCTTCCACCATCCCAGAACCAACAGTGTTTTATTATTACTAGGCTCAGAGAGATGGAGACAACATCAACTATAACTGAACCTGACTTTTTTGAACTTAAGTTTTACATTAACTCCAGAGTTGGAGCAGTAGAGCCATTTCTAGATAAGAATTTCCTGCAAAACATAAATGGTTTATTCTCACTACCAATTTTTTCTCTTCTTCTAACTTTTAATTTCTTCTCATTTAATTTCTTCCAGTGCCTAAGCCCTCTAGCATATTGTTTAATAGAAGCAGGGCTAGCACACATTCCTAATGTTTTTCTGATTTTAATGGAAAAGCTTCTAAAGTTTTATCGTTAAACATGATTGCTCACTCTAGTTTTTTGTTATATTCTCTTTATTAGGTTAAAGAAATTTCAGATACCTTTTTTTTTTTTTTTTTTGGAGACCAAGTCTCGCTTTGTTACCCAGGCTGGAGTGCAGTGGTGCGACCTCAGCTCACTGCAACCTCCACCTCTCGGGTTCAAGCAATTCTCCTACCTCAGCCTCCAGAGTAGCTGGGAGTACAGGCGTGCACCACCACACTTGGCTAATTTTTCTGTTTTTAGTAGAGTCAGGGTATTATCATGTTGGCCAGTCTGGTCTCGACCTCCTGACCTCAAGTGATCCACCGGCCTCGGCCTCCCTAAATGTTGAGATTACAGATGTGAGCCACCATGCCCAGCCCAGATTTCTTTTAATCCAAATTTGTTAAAAGGTCTCTCTCTTTTGGGTTAATTATAAAATTTATCAAAAACTTTTAATATCACCTATTAAAACACTCGTAGTGTTGTTGTTCCTTTAATCTATAACACAGAGAATTACACTAATAGGTACACACTACAAAATTCTATTCATTTAGTGTTTTTTCACTGTATTCACTGAGACAGTAATTTCCCTTAAACATTTTTTTTGGTATTGTCCATGTCTACTTTTGCTATCACTGTCATAAAATAGTTACTTAGTTTTTTGTTTTTCTATTGCCTGAAATAAGCTGTACAATACAGGGATAATCTGCTCTGTGAAGGCACAGTAAAACTTTGCAGCAAACCTTCTAGGTTTTAGTATTCTGTGGTAGGGAAAAGAGGGAGAAAGGAGGATTTCTGATTACTAATTCAATTTGTTGAATGAGTATAGGTTATCTAGATCTTTTTGAGTTGATTTTGGTATTTATTTTTCTAGAAAATTTTATCATTTTCACATTTTAACTAATGATCACATTTATTGACCTACTTATCTATTGCATTTTGTTTTGAGAGAGTTAATATAACACAGCTGAGTATAAACTAAAGACAACCATCTCAGATTTTTATTTTTTCTTAATCAATCTTGCTATTTTACTAGTCTTTAAATTAATTTTTTAAAAGTCAGCATTTGGATTTGTTGGTATTTGATAATGTTTATTTTCTATTTCATTAATTTCTTTTCTTGGCTTCCTTCCTTCACTTTCCTGAAGTTGACTCTGTTGTCCTTTTATTTCAGCTGAATGCTTGTTTTTAAATCTACTTTTTCATACTTAATGTTTTTAAGGCAATACACTTATTTCTACCCCTAAACTAGAGCCTATAATGTTTTTTTATTTTTGAGACAGAGTTTCCCTCTGTCGCCCAGGCTGGAGTGTAATGGCTCAATCTCGGCTCACTGCAACCTCTGTTTCCCGGGCTTGAGCCATTCTCGTGCCTCAGCCTCCCGAGTAGCTGGGATTACAGGTACGTGCCATCACACCCTGCTAATTTTTTTTATTTTTAGTAGAGATGGGGTTTTGCCATGTTAGCGAGGCTGGTCTTAGACTCCTGGCCTTGTGATTTGCCCACCTTTGCCTCCCAAAGCGCTGGGATTACAGGCATGAGCCACTGTGCCCGGCCTCAGCCTATAATTTTTAACATGTAGTACATCCATCATCTTTAAGTCCTAAATATTTTATAATTTGTATTATGATTTCCTTTTTAATTCACGAGTTATTAAGGAGGATGTTTTAAAGTTTTCACACATTTTAAAGATGTCTTTTAATTGCCAATTTCTAATTTAATTCCACTGTGGTCACAAATGCTATCTACTGAAATAACCATGTAGTTTTTTTTCCCTTTAATCCATTAATATGGAGAATTATACATACACAAGAAAAATCTTATTAAGGCTTTGAAACTTCTTAAAATTGCCTTTATGATCTAGCATATAATCAACTTTTGTGAATGCTCTGTTTATAGCTGACAAAAAAATGTATTCACCACTTACTGGATAAAGACTTTATATATGTCAAATAGATCAAGCCTGTTAATTTTGTTCAAATCTTCAATATTTTTACTAATTTCTTCTTTGCTTAAACCAGCAGTTTTATTTTGAGACAGGGTTTTGCTCTGTCAGCCAGGCTGAAGTACAGTGTGCAATTAATTATAGTTCATTATAACTTTAAGCTCCTAGGCTCAAGTGAACCTCCCA